ACAGATAAGAAAAAAAAAGAATGAATGGACTATATACTGACTATACTGAGTGATATGTGATTATAAAGTGATAGAATCAGCCCGTGAAGCATTAAAAGAGGTCCAAATGTGCGAAATGTGGAGTGTTTAGTTTATGGGCAGTTAAGTGTCAGCAGGTGTCGGGTTGGCCAGCAACACAAACACTCCACAGCAAAACCAGCAGCACATGCAGTGGAAAGATTTTAGGGACTTCACCCTGACTCTGCATGTGCCTCCTGAACCCCCCGGCCTGGTATCTGATCTTTGTGGCTATATTGGGACGCAGTCTGGCTCCTGCTGTTATGGGCCTACTGTAAGATATTCCACTGTGGGCCTGGGTCCTGCACTCGGAGACACTTTGATTCTTCATCTGCTGCAACTCTTCATCCACCTACTGATGTGGGAAGCTGTGATGTGATCAGTGGGAGTTGATGGTGAAAGGTTTGGCTGTTTTGATTAAGAATATTACTATTTATGTAATAATAATTTGGATTATCTATATGCGGTTAATAAAGAGATATGTAACTCATGTAATATGGACCAGAGGCTGGGAGTGTGCTGATAGATCTTTGAGAAAAAGATGAATCAATTTGAAATATGAAAGCATATAAATTTTGTCCAAGTCGGTTTAAAGGTTTAGTTGCCGTATTAGCGTCCTGTTGTTTCTGAGGTACAGCATATGTGATCCTAAAAAAATTACTGGGCTGTTTAAACTCACACTGGTTTATCACAGCTGCAAAATGAACCCTCTCTGTGTAAACACGAGAAGACACCATCACTCCATAATAAAACATGACATGGCACCGGCTCACAGGACTTCACCCGTCCTTCAGTCTGATGCTTCATATTCCGCGCCGCAATAATGTTACTCCCCGCAGCGATCGAGATAAAGGAGGTGACGAACAGTGCTCTCACATGCCCTGCCATAACATACGAAAGCAGGCTGCACGGGATCACTTTGTCTGGACATTATTATTGCGTAGGGATGCGCACCCCCCACCCCGGGGCTCCATCCCTCCGCCCCACACTGAAACGAACTGAACTTGACACTGGTTAAAAAAATCATCAGTACATCCTCTAAAAGCATCTTACCTCCCTGGTCTGGTCCGCGGTAAATTTCTGTCCGGATCTTTAGGGGTGTGATTACGCCGGGACGGATTCGTGGCAGTTCGCTGCTGTCTTGCGGTCCCCTCCTGCTCCCCTGCCCCGTCACTCAGCTGCGCGCGGCACCGGCTCCTCTTCCGGGATGTCCTAATTAAGCAACGCGTTGAACCTGAGAGCCGCACAGCTGCAGAGACCAGGACCGTGACTCAGTGCCTCCCTGCTCCGGGGGAGAGACGTTTGCCTCGCAGACAACATGGCAGCCTTGGAGAGCTCTGCTAAAAATAGACAAGTGATTGGTGCTGTGGCGATGCCGGCATGGGGCTCTTTTGAGGGAATGGCCTTTTAGAAGCTGGGCAGTCATCATCATATTCATAGTGCATGGGAATGAAATGAAGTTTTACCCCTTTGCTGACCTTTAAAATTTAAGACTGCAAATTTTCAACATTTTAAATCCCTAAACGAACACACGTCACAACAATAACTCCAAAACCGGTTTAAAGCTGCCCTTTAGTTTTCTACTTTTAACGTAAATACTCCCTCAGTTCCCCAAGGTAAACAAACACCAAACCCTATTTTTAACCCCACTGAGGTCCAAGAATAGCAGACATACGCCGGTCTGTTGCAGTCATAGACTGTATATAAAAGATGGGCACAGTCAGAGTTTCTGTGTCATAAAAGTGCCTATCTTTTTACCTGGTTAAATCACCATGGTAACTTACAGCAAGCGCATTTCCTAATCAAGAGCAGGTCCTGTTCAGCGTTTCAGTGATACCCATTGAGCCAGCTAATGCAAAGAAAGCCTGATGGTGGTGAACTTCCTTCCTTGACGCCTCAGGTCTGAAAAGCAAAGCCAGAGTAGAAGTGTTTCAAATCTGCATTCTCTCTAACGGACAGCAGGGGTTTACTTGTAAATGAGAGTCAGCATTATAGTAATAGAGGACAAGAGGATAAAGTCAAGTATGGTTTAGGACAGGCTTACCTTGTCATCTGCACCTTGCCCACCACATCTGATTTCAAAACAACAAGGCAGGGGCCATGTAAATGCACAGCTTGATGTTTCATAATGGGACTTTTCTAATGAATGCCCATCTACAGCCATCTTTTATAAACAGTATGGTAACAGTGTGGTGTAGCATCTAGGAATCAGTGAGGCTGAGTGTAGTTAGAAGTTTCCAGTAAGCTAGCTAGCTGACATGTTTTGAGGTAATTCTCAAAAGCTACAATTTCAGCACTGCTGAATATTGGTGGTGGTGAAGTTAGCCACTTCACACAAAGTTTAGACTAATATAAACAAAACAGAACAGGAAGCTTTAGACACAGACAAATAAATTAAAAAGATTAATAAACAATCTTGAGAATGTGCAACAACACTGAGTCTTCAGAGTTATCCAGGGCATAAGTTAGAATTAGGTTCAGGTAATGGGACCCCCATCTAAAGTTCCAGTTTCCAGTGCTAAGCACTGTCATAGTTTGAAGATGAGGAACAGGTATACCAACCAGAGTCCTCCCTGGACTATGCCTACTTCTACAAAAGACCTCAGACTATTAAGTAGGAATTTGGTCCAAAATGTTTTTTGTAGTAGGCTGTAACCATGTAAATGTCTGTCCCAACCTGACTCACTTTTCAAGTCAGATTCAAGTGGCCATTAGAAGAACTGCCCGTTTTGGTGCTTATGTGTCTGTTAGTTCTTCACTACCTGATGTTTGGGGTGGTTGTGATTACTGGAAGGTCAGTGGATTGATTATCAACTCCTCCATGTGTTGAAGCATCCTTGGCCAAGATCCTGAACACTTAGTTGTTCCCTGTGTATCCATCGGAGTGTGGATATGTGTGCATGAATTTTATTTTAAAAAGTGCTTAGGTATAGATACAAGCCTTGTTTGCTTGTGTGTGATTGGGTGAATGAAACTTGTAGGAGAAAGTGCTCTGAAAGCTCAAACTGAGTAAAAAGGGGATATACGAGCAACATTACATTTAATGCATTGCCAGACTACACAACATTCTCCACAAGCAAAAACTACAGATTTCTTCAATCCTTTGAAAGCCTGCCACTCCTTCTGTGACTCTTTCTTTAGTTTTTTTTTTTCCAGTGTAGGTATTTATAACAAGTTTCTAATAAGAAAGCATTACTACTTTAAGGAGCACCTCCACCCACAAGATATAAAACCTCCACCTGTTTTCACAGAGCAGTCCCTTCTGTCATCCTAAACTCTGAGGCCATTTCAAACTCCAGCTAGAGGAGGGTTGCAGCTGTGGATCATCCTTTTTTAATAAAGTAACAGCTTTAATCTTGTTACGGCATGATGTCAGGTGCTTTGGCTGCTGTTAATTTCACCCATAAGGCCTTGCTGCGTCCATGCTGTGTCACGGTCAACACTCACAGTAATGTGACCCAGTTTCATGTTTCAGTGGCGACCAAAATGCTCCTCTGAGTAGAATGAAAGACGTCAGAAAGCGAGCAGCTAACTCTTCCTAACATGACTTATTGATTAGAGCAGGGATTAATCATTGATAGGCCTCGACTTGATTAGTATCCATGGTTACTCAATCTGGGCGTGACTAACTCCAGTGTTTCATAACGTGGTTTCATATGGGACCACGCACACTCAGACTTACAGAGTCACATATTTATGTTCAAACATAAATAAACACAATTTTTCACAATCATTTCAGAAATTATGAAAACCTGTTAAAAATATAATTTTGCTATTCTTATGTTTATAACAGGTTTTTTTTTTAATATCCATGGTCAACTTTGTTTTCATTTCATAACCTTTCATGGCAGTGGCCTCATTTGAAAGACCTTCTTGGTTTGGACATGGACACAGCTGCTTCTATTTAGTTTGACAAGGGTGCTCTTCACTAACCCATCTTAATTTAATTCAGTTTTATTTATATAGCACGAAATCACAACAACAGTCATCTCAGGGTGCTTTATATTGTAAAGACCCTACAA